CTCGGGGGAACCGGCTCAGGGGAGGAGGCATCGGCCTGGGATCGGCGATACATCGCCGACAAATCGGCGGTAGGCCCCTGGCAACGGCAAATCCGCATGCTCTTGGACAGGGCGGGCTGCTGGGCCCCTATCGGCGACGAATGGGCGATTGGGGGTCGACGCATCCCACCCCGAGCCTGCCCTCCCGCGTGAGATGCAACTCGAGAAAGGCCGCAGAAAGAGAAGGTCCGGGGCTGGGCTGGAGAGTTTCTGCAGACTCGGCATGTTTTCGCGACGTCGGATCTCAGGGGAGTCGGGGAGACGTAAGGCTCGGGGTCGGGAGACTCGGGCTGGCCTGACGGGGCCGGCATGGTAATGACGAGACCCAGTCTGAAATTCGACGCGAGCTCCCGCCGCAGACGTCCCACGAAAACTGGACCGTCCAAATCCGGGATGCGCTCGTCAAAAAAAGCGTCGGCAGCCCCGAGCTCTGGCGCCGTTGCTCGAGCCCTACGTTCCCCCCCACGGCGGAGGCCTCTCGCCGATGTGCTGCACTTCTTCGTGACGTCGGGCCGCAGGGGGGGCCTGAGCCGCCGTCGCCCCTGCGCGCTACCCCCCCCCCCCCGGCAGGGTGCGCCCGCGGGCCTCCCGGCGGCCCCCGGGAGGCGCTGGCCCCCCGCCGCCGCCCACGCCGCCGCCGCCGTCGGTGGCCGCCGAGATCCCACGCTGCCAAAAAGCTAAGAAGGCATCGCAGGACACTGCGCCGACCAGAGCCCCCGACCGGGCCTGCCTGCGGCCTCTTCTGCCCGTCGGACGGCTCCGGGACGGCCCAGTCTGGGGCCCGCGGCCGGGCGAGAGCGCCCGGTGCGAGAAGCGTGCCACGCCCGGGCCTCGGGGAGCGCCGCCGCCGCCATCCCGAGACGCGCGACATCCTGACTCTTCCGGCACAGAGCCCCTGGGAGCCCCGACCTTTTCTCTTCCCCCAGTCCCGGCTTCTCGTCCCGGGTCATCTGTGGACGGCCCCCCGGGCCCCGGCGAGGGCCCCAGGGGCCGGGCCGCGGCCCAACGCCCTCGCCCCGAATCTGTTGGTGCCCGCCGCGAGCCCGCCTGGGCCGTCGGCGGCGCGCGCGCGCGAGCGCGCCCGAGCCTCGGCCGGCGTGGGCGGGAGTGGCTGCGTCGGCGGCATCTGCGAGGCCGCGGCGGCCGCCGCGCCCTGCTGCGCCTGGCGGGCGCGCGCGCGCGGCGGAGCCGCGTCGGCGCGGGCTCGCTCCCGGGGGCGGCGCGGGCGGCACGAGGGCACACCCAGCGGCTCGAGGGCGCCGCGGCAGCGTGCTGGCATCGACCACGGCGGCCACGAGACGGTGGCAGGCAGTGGCGATGGCGGTGGCTCGGTGGCGAGCCCAGCGGGGAAGTGGGAGTGGGCGGGCCTGCTCAGTAGGCTCGGCAGGCCTCCAGCCTGCTGAGCTGTCTGAGTCTTCTCCCAAAAAACAAAGAGGAACACTTCCCAGAAGGCGCAAGGGCTTCTGAGAAGCCCCGCCACCTCCTGAGAAGGCCTGCCCCCTCTCGCTTCCCCCCTGGCTCGCCGCCGAGTGGCGATGGTGGCGATGACGACGGCAAGGCCAATGACGGCGCCGATGCTGAGGAGGAGGAGGAGGAGGAGGAGGAGGTGGTGACGACGACGATGACGATCATGATGTAGATGTGTCGGTGCTGACGGTGATTGTGCTGTCCGGGTGGTGCCAGGAGGGCCCCTCTTGCCCGACCCAGACACCTGACGCCTCGAGAAAGGCAGTGCGGCAGCAATCTTGCACAGCGCTCAGCTTCCAGGGGGTCCTCGCAGGGCCCCGGGCCGTCCAAAAAAAGCTCAGGAATGAAGAGCCCGCCCTGTGGAGAAGGCCCAACGGGGGCGGCCAAGAGAGGGGCGTCTAAGAGGGGGGGGGGGGGGGGGCGCAAATCGTGGCCGGCGACATATGCGCGACCCAGGGGGGGGGGCCAGGGACGTATTGAAATACGAAGAGGCGCCATGAAATCTGTGGAGATATCATGTCCCCCGCCATGATATCCACACCCCCTAGTCATCACCCCACTCTTGGCCGTCCCCGAGCCCAGACCTCCGGAGACACCGCATTGAGAAGCTCAATCCACAGGATGTATGGAAGGTGCCCCCATATTCCCAGAGAGGCCCCCACGGCCTCCAGAGCACCCCTCACGAGGCCCGATGGCCCCAGCGGCTCCAGAGTGAGGCGAAAAGCTCTGGGGACTCCCTGGGCCAGGGATACGCAAAGCAACCCTGAGATGTAGACTTTCAAGGGCGAGGATCCGGGCTCAGGGTTTTGGGCACCTGCTGCATTCATGTTGGCACCTGGGGCATCTGGAGGCCTCGCAGGGATCTCCAGGAGCCCAGGTCTTCCAGCCGCTCGAAAAACAACAAATCGGGACGGCTGGTGTTTGCCCTGTGTTGAACAAAACCAGACATAGGAAGGGTTCGAGCTGGCACGTGGGGTGCCGTGTCCCCGTCCATGGGCCAGGAAACTCCACACCGACAGCCTTGGCAACTCTCCTCTTCTGCCTCGTCCCCCACCGCCACCTCCTCCTCCTCCTCCTCCTCATCATCATCATCATCATCATCATCCTCATCATCATCATCATCCTCCTTATCCTCCTTCTCTTCCTCCTCCTCTCAGTATTATTAGTAGTAATAACAAGAATAGGAAACATAAAGTTAGTAATAGTATTCTTATTATGTTTACTAGTATTGTTCGTCTTATTACGCTTATTGTTCTTACTATGGTTCCGAAAATTATTAGTAGTAATATTAGTAGTATTGGTATGTTTCCTCGTATTACTAGTCTTTGCAGTATTACTACTACTACTACTACTACTACTACTACTACTACTACTACTACTACTACTACTACTACTACTACTACTACTACTACTACTACTAGTCTTAATGTCATGATTCGTACTAGGAAGTAGCATTCGCAGTCGCATTATTCTTGTTAGAATCATAGTATTATTCTTCTTACGACGATTACTTGTCTTATTATTATGATTACTCATCTTATTTGTCTTTCCCCTCTTCTTCTTCCGATTATCATTCCCCAATCAGAGCTTGCCTCTGTCGGGGTCCGAGCGGTTTCATATGGTTAGGTTAGGTTTGTCGCCGATTTTCGCTGCACGCCCGGGTGCCCGGGTGCCCGGGGGGTGCCCCGGGCCCAGGTGCCCAGGGGGTGCCCGGGGGTGCCCGGGTACCCGGGTGCCCGGGTGCCCGGGTGCCTGGGCGTGCCCGGGGGTGCCCGGGGGTGCCCAGGGGTGCCCTATCGCCCTAAGCCCTATAGCCCTATAGCCCAATAGCCCTATAGCCCTATAACTCTATAGCCCTATAGCTTCATAGCCCTATAGCTCAATAGCCCTATAGCCCTATAGCCCCCTAGCCCTATAGCCCTGATTGTTTTTTTTCTCCGGTATCATTAGTACTATTATTATTATTCCCCCTCCTCCTCCGCCTCCTCCTCATCCTCATCCTCCTCCTCCGCCTCCTCCTCCTCCTCCGCCTCCTCCTCCTCCTCCTGATCGCCCAAACGATGGGAGAAGGTCTACAGCGGCTTCGTACGCTCTCGGCCAGGTGGCACAATTCTGGTGGTGCATCGGCTGCGGCTCTCGTGTGCGACGAGCGTCGACGAGTGGCGGCGACACGGGCTCCGCACTAAGGCCATCCTGTGCGACGAAGACGTGAACCCGCGAAACGTCTGGCCGCCTTCGCTTCGGTGAAAGAGAGTGGCCAGCGATCCGAAAAGACGCTCCGACGACGCCCAGCCCGTGGCCGTGGCTGCGGACCTGGCACTCGGCTCTCCTCCCCAGCTTGACTCCCCCGCCCCCCGAGGCCTTCGGCGAGCGGGGCGCCGTCTGGTCCGCGGCGGACCGGGCAGCCGCCCCCGGTCGGTGCAGGGCCGAGATCGACCTCACTGAGGCTTGCGACTCCGTGTCGAACGCGGTCGCCCGAGGCTCTGCTCCATGGACGGTTTCCCCCATGGCCGTAGGCGACCCGACGAGGAGGAGGAGGAGGAGGAGGAGGAGGAGAAGGAGGAGAAGGAGGAGGAGGAGGAGGGGGAGGGGGAGGAGAAGATGGAGGAGGAGGAGGAAGAGGAGGAAGAGGAGGAGGAGGAGGAGAAGGAGGAGAAGGAGGAGGAGGGGGAGGAGGAGGAGGAGGAGGAGGGAGAAGGAGGAGGAGGAGGAGGAGGGCGGGTCGCCCCTTCGAAGAACCCTCCAGATCGACCTAACTAAGGCTTACGACTCCGTGTCGAACGCGCGCCTGCTCGGGCCGGGCCCTGGAGGCCGTTTTTCTTCCGTGGCACTGTGCCATGCGCACTCACACTTGAGGTCCGCTGCTGGTCCCAAGGGCTCCCAACTTCGCGCTTCGCGCTGCGCGAAGCGCGAAGCGCGAATAACTTCGCGCTCTCGCGCCGCCTCCCAGGGGAGAAGAGGAAGATGAGGAGGAATCGGAGCCGAACCGCGAAGCGCGAAGCGCGAATAACTTCGCGCCCTCGAGGGAGCCCTTGTGGTCCTAGGTCGACGACCAGAGCCTGGAGAGCACCGACACTTAGGCACGGTCTGGAGCCTTGACGGGCACGACCGCCCTCGACAGCCGCCTGGGGCTTACCGAGCCCACCAGCAAAGGGCAGCTCTGGGAGGACGACGGGTGCGCGGAACACTTCGGCAGTCGGGCGTGTCCTGGGAGCCACCTCGCCTGCCCTCCGGTTGAAGGCCCTCGTGATGGTTGGGGGGTCATGGAAGATTGCACTCGCAAGTTGCTCCGCATGCCTGGTAGCATAGGCATCCGCGCACTGACGGCTGTCATGTCCGCGGCCTCGACATACCGGTGGCTGCCCCCTTCGTGGAGTGCCTCCCCGCCTCCCTGGTCAAGCTGACTCTCTGGTATGTCGCTCACACCCGCTGCACCTGGTGGAACCAGCGGCGCTGGTGGGCTGGACGCCTCGAGCTGCACCCCGTCTTCGGCACCTCCCGCCAGGCCCTCCGCCAGACCTCCCGCTTCCCACGGTCGCCCCTCTGGCGGTCGTGCGTGACCTTCGGGCTGGCCTCCCACCCCGGGACCCCCCGGGCTGTTGGCCGTCTGGGTCCGCAGCCGGGTCTGGCTTTAGGTCGGGCGTGTCCTCCTACAGGGGGATTTTGGGCCAAAAATAAACAATAGTCAAAAAAATCAAGAATGGTCGAAAAATACTAGGAAATCGTCCGAATATTCCTCCTGCAGGGGAACAGGCCCGACTTAAGCCTGGCCTCGACCCTCGTGCGGCGACCGCCGTGGACGAAGCCGCGGCTGCCTCCAGCTGCCCGCCCTGCTTTGACGCTTCCTCTCTCCGCGGCCAGCACATCCTGCGCGTCTGTGCGCGCGCCCAGCTCCTCTGGGGTCGTGCCCGCAGGCCCTGGCACGACGAATTGGCTGCACGCAAGAGCGACCCTGGTCAAGAGTGACCTTTGGTGCGCGGCTTTTTTGGGGGCCGCGGGATGGCCAAACCTGGGCGCGCAAGCCGCCGCTGCCGCTTCGCGCTCGGCGATCGGGGGACCCGATTGCACCCGCACCAAAGGTCACTCCGTCGACAGGTCACTCGTGCGTTCAGTCGAGACGAAGAGGGGATACGGCACATCCACCTCGAGACGCAGGTGGGCTGGGTCACCCACCAGCCCGCGTCGACGCCGCTGCCTGGCCCAGGGTGCACGCGGTGGCGTGCAGGCTCGGGCCCCGCATCTGGGAGGCCCTACCCCGGGCATGCCACTCTGCTCCAGCCCCGAGGAGGGCCCGCGGCTCGGCGGCCGGCGCGGACCGGCACGTGCGGCGCTCCGCCCTCGAGACGGCGGCCCGCGCCTCCTCCCAGCAGCCCCCGCCCGAGCCCGCGCAGGCGGACGTGGCTGGAGACAGCTGCCGCGACGACGGCGGCCCCGACTTCGACGGCCCCCCCCCCTGCCCCCCCCCCCCCCGTTTGGTGGCGTGGTGTGATGTGGCTGCACGCCTAGGAGCCGACCACGGGAGCCTTCTCCCGCTCCCCCGACGCCCCGCCGCCGCGTCCGGCAGAGGGCGGAGCCCCCTGCCGGAGAGGCCCCGGCGGCCTCGTCCTCCCTCCTCCCCTCCCTCTCCCCGCCGGACTCGGAACCGAGTTGGTCAGGTTGAGCTGGTGCTTGTATTAGTTTGTTGTGGGTAGTCCCATTGTTTGTGACTCCAGCCAGGTGCCTTTAGGCGACTCTTGGCAGGTTTCTTCCCCACCTTCCACTGCTTTTCTCGGCCTTCGGCCGAGGGTGTCCTGACCAGTGGTAGCCTCTTCCTCCTCCTCTTCCTCCTCCTCCTTCCTCCTCCTCCCCCCTCCCCCTCCCTCCCCCTCCCCTCCCCCTCCCCCCTCCCTCCTCCTCCTCCTCCCCCTCCTCCTCCACCTCCTCCTCCTCCTCCTCCTCCTCCTCCTCCTCCTCCTCCTCCTCCTCCTCCTCCTCCTCCTCCGCTGGGCCACACGAGAGGAACCATCTCGCGCGCAGCATCTCCAAACCAAGAAATGCGAAAGTCTCAGGCGGAAGTGGCTAAACAAGTCGCAGAATATCAAAAAAAGAGGTGTTTGTATGTGTCAAGCGAAACGGGCTGGAACACCTCTCGCGCGGCATCCGGGAACTGAGGGCTGCGAAGATGTTTCAGACGAGATGGGCTGGACCACCTCAGATCAGGTCGTACTGAAACACAGGGTTGCGAAAATGTCGTGGGCGAAACGGGCTGGGACACCTCATAATTAAAGAATAGATTCGTGCCCAGGTCCTCCTGGCGGAATTAGTTCTTCTGTCTCAGGCGAAACGGGCTGGACTACCTCGGGTCACTGCATTTGCGATACGGAAACTGCGAGGATTCAAGCGAAACGGACCGAAGCACCTCTCGCGCTGCATCTGGGAACTCGAAATGGACAGGATGTCTCAGGCGAAACGAACCGGAACACCTCAGATCTGGTCGTCTCCGAGCACGGATTTGTGAGGATGTCTCAGGCGAATCGGGTCGGGCCACCGCACGACCTTGAGATTGTCTCCACGCACAGGTCCTTCGGGCAGAACTAATTCTGACAACAACAACCCCCCCCCAACAACTGCTGGGTAACCCAGGAGCACTCCACATCAAAAACTGTACAACGGAAGCGAACAGGACGCCCCCATGCGTTACAACTACATACATACATACATACATACATACATACATACATACATACAGACAGACAGACAGACAGACAGACAGACAGACAGACAGACAGGCATACAGACATACATACATACATACATACATACATACATGCATGCATGCATGCATACAGACAGGCAGGCAGGCAGGCAGGCAGGCAGGCAGACAGACAGACAGACACACGTATGTATAGTATATATAGATACACGAATACATGACAGATAGATAGACAGAAACATAAATGTATATGTATGAAGCGATACATATATATAGGTATATAGATAGATAGATAAACATATGTACACATATATATATATATATATATATATGCACACACATATATATGTGTATGTAAATGTCCTCCGCCATGCTGTTGCTCCCCGACTCCTCCACGTCCCCTCCCTCCTCCTCCGCCTTTCAACCAGTTCAGGTCACCACGCTTCGAGAGCGCACCATCACCATCAACATCATCATCAGCAGCATCAACAACAACATGAACATCAACATCAACATCAACAATCATCATGACCACGACCACCACCACCACCACCACCATCATCATCGTCGTCGTCGTCGTCGGCGTCGCCTTGGTCATCGCCATCGTCGTCGTCGTCATGTCACCACCACCACCCAGATCAGAATCATCACCACCACAATCATGACATTCGCCACCACCACCACCATTATCCGTTTCCCAAAACTCATCCTAGCAGATACTAATAACAATCGTCATCATCGTCGTCACCGTTATCGTCATCATCCCCACAATCATAGTCATCGTGATCATCATCATCCTCATCCTCGTCATCGTCGTCATCACCATCATCATCACCACCATCACCATCACCATCACCACCGTACCAACACCATCCTTTCCACAAAATTCTCCCTCACCACTCGCCCCCTCCCTTTTCCTCCTCTCGCGGCCTCGCCGGCCCCGGGGAGGAGCTGGCCGCACTGCGGCGCCGTAGCCGCCGCGCCTGCGCGGACGCAAGGGCCGCCCAGGAAGGAATGAGGGGGAACTTCGTCCACGGTTAGATGCTCGTTCTGGGGGCCTCTTTGGAGGCACTCGTTCCACTCACGCGTCGACGATGCGTCGAACGTCCGTGGACTGGAGTCGAACTCGAATCGAAGTCGAGTCGAACTTGAGTCGGGGTGGAGTCGAAGCAGAGCCGAGCTAGAGAAACTGTACAGCTTCGAACTAGAATAAAAAATAGGGGGGGAAACAACAACAACAACAACAACAACAACAACAACAACGACAACGATAACGACAACGACAACGACAACGACAACGACAACGACAACGACAACGACAACGACAACGACAACGACAACGACAACGACAACGACAACGACAACGAACGACAACGACAACGAACGACAACGACAACGACAACGACAACGACAACGACAACGACAACGACAACGACAACAACAACAACAACAACAACAACAACAACAACAACAACAACAACAACAACCAACCACAACCAACAACAACAACAAAAACAAAAACAATCACAACAACAACAACAACAACAACAACAACAACAACAACAACAACAATAATTACTAGCACGTGGGGACACACCGTTCTCACCAGTGCCAGGGTTTTCATAGGAGGCGGGCAATACCCCCACTTTGTGGGGGGGCCGGTTCAAGCTCTACCAAATTTCCAAACGACTCTTCGCCACCACCCACACCCAGCTTCCCGCCCTATGACGTTCGGACACTTCACTTCGTGGCATGCGGACGACCGTGGCTACTATTCAGGGCCCCGCGGCCGACGACGACGGCGTGCGCGCGCGAAGAAAAAACGAATGTGTCCCGCATGGTATTATTTGACAGGGATGATGGCCCTGGCAGGTGCGCAACCGTTGTTGCAGAAGTTCGAAAAAGTTGCTCGCAAAAGCCCGTTTGACAGAAATGATTAAAAAGTGTTGGGTTTCCTACGAATCCGCAAGAGCGCGCGGGATGAAGATTTTGACAATTTTTTTTGAAAAACCATTGGTTTTTTGATGTTTTTATGTTAAAATCGCTACGAAAACTAAGGTTTTGGAAGGATTTCGTCTTGCGCGCGCGAATGTCCACTTTACCTTATTTTTTGCAAGGGATTCTTGAAGTTTGGTTATGTTAGAACAAGAAATGTCCACTTTAGCTTATTTTTTGCAAGGGAAAACCGATCGTAACAACACAACCGGATCCGGACCAACCCGTTTTGCCTGAGACTTCCTCACGAAAATGATGAAAATGAGGCTGCGGCCTAGGCGCGGCGGGGGGGTCGTGCACCAGGGGTCCCAACAATAATTATTCTTTAGAAGTAATAATGTTCAAAAACAACAACAACAACAACAACAACAACAACAACAACAACAACAACAACAACAATCATTTTACCCGAACGCTCAGTGTTCTCACCAGTGCCAGGGTTTTCATGCGACGCGAGACAATACCCCCACTTCGTGGGGGGGCAGTTCAAGCTCTACCAAATATCCAAACGACTCTTCGCGACCACCCAAACCCAGCTTCCCGCCCTATGACGTTGGGACACTTCACTTCGTGGCGTGCGGACGACCGTGGCTACTACACTGGCGTGGGGTACACACCCACAGAACTTGGTCACTTATTCGGGGCGCGCGTGTGCCCAGCATCCTGCAATTGTGACATACAATACATGACACAGACAGACAGAGAGAGAGAGACAGAGAGCAGACAGAGAGAGAGACAGAGAGAGCGGAGTTGGTCACATTTTTGGGGCAAGTTCCTGAGATCGTCGTGTTTTTTGTTGGTCTTGCG